TTCTTCATATAATCCAGCTTCATAGATTATGTGCTCAGCATACAGGTTGAGTAAGTATGATGAAAGAATAAAACCTTGGCAAACACCTTTCCTACTTTTAAACCATTCGGTGTTACCTTGTTCTGTTTGAACAATTGCCTCTTGGTCTATGTACAGATTCCTCATGTGCCCAAGTAAGTATTCTAGAATATTTATTCTCTGCAATGTTGTCCATAGCTTGTCATGATCCACACAATAGAAAGCCTTTGCATAGTCAACAAAGCACAGATAAATGTCTTTCTGGTCTTCTCTGCTTTAGCCAAGATCCACCTTGTCAGCAATGATATCCCTCATTCTATGTCCTTGTCTGAATCTGGCTTGAAATTCTGACAGGTCCCTTTCAGTGTACTGCTGCAACCATTTTTGAATTATCCTAACAAAATTTTACTTGCATGTGACATTAATGATATTGTTTGGTGATTTCTGCATTTGGTTGGGTTATCTCTCTTTAGAATGGGCACAAATATGGATCTTTTCCAATCAGTTGCCAGATAGTTGTCTTCCAGATTTCTTGGCATAGATGAGTGAGTGCCTTCAATGTTGCACCAGTTTGTTGAAAGATTTCAATTTGTATTCCATCAATTTCCAGAGACTTGTTCTTTGCTAATGCCTTCAGTGCACCTTGGACTTCCTTCTTCACTATCATTGACTCTTGATCATATACTACCTCTTGAAATGCTTGAACATCAATCATTACTTTTTGGTACAGTGACTTTGTGTATTCCTTCCATCTTCTTTTGATGTTTTCTGCATCATTCAATATTTTTCCCATAGAATCCTTCAATAGTACAAGTTAAGGCTTGAATTTTTTCCTCAGTTATTTCAGTTTGATAAATGCTGGCTGTGTTCTTCCTTTTTGGTTTTCTAACTCTAGGTCTTTGTATATTTCATTATATTTTATTTTGTCTTCTTGAGCTGACCTTTGAAATTTTCTGTTCAGCTTTTTAACCTCCTCATTTTTTCCACTTGCTTTATCATCTCTACGCTAGAGAGCAAGTTTCAGAGTCTCTTCTGACATCTATTTTGGTCTTTTCCTTCTTTCTTGTCTTCTTAATGACCTTTAACCGTCTTCCTGTATGATGTTCTTGATGTTATTCCACAACTCTCTGGTCTTTGGTCATTAGTGTCTAATGGATGAAATTTGTTATTGAGATGATCTCTAAATTCAGGTGGATTATGTTCAAGGTGGATATTTTGGCTTTTGTGGATTTAAATTTTTTTTCTTTGGACTGATATATGGTGTTTTCCCACCACCTCTTTCCACAGATGCAGTCAATTTGATTTCTGTGTGTTCCATCCAGTAATGTCATGTGAATAGTCATCTTTTATGTTGTTTAAAAAAGGTATTTGCAATAAAGAAGTCATTGGTCTTGCAAAATTCTATTATGAGATTTCCAGCACCATTTTTATCTCCCTGGCCATATTTTCCAAGGACTTCCTCTTTGTTTCCAACTTTTGCATTCCAGTCACCAGTAATTATTAGTTCATCTTGATTACATGTTTGATCAATCTCAGACTAACGAAGTTCGTAGAATTCTTCAATTTCTTCACACTGGTTTTAGTTGTTGGTGCATAAATTTGAGTAATAGTTGTATTGTAATAGTTTTATAGTTGTAATGGTTTTCCTTGTTGTTATTGTTGTTGTTAAGTGCCGGTTGAGTGGTTGGGTTGATTTTGACCCATAGCGACCTTGTATAGGGTTTCCTCAAGGAGCAGCTGGTGAGCTTGAACCACCAACCTTGCAGTTCAAATGACTTTGCAGTCTGACACATTAGCCCACAGTGCCACACCAGGACTCCCGTTTTCCTTATAGGTGTATGGATATTATCAAACGAACAACAGACAGCACTATACTTCCAGACAGATTTTTAAATGTTCTTTTTGATGATGAATGCAACACCATTCCTCTTCAATGTATTATTCCTGGCATAGTACACCATGTGATCATCAGATTCAAAATGGTCAACACCACACATTTTAGTTCACTAATGCCTATTGATGTTTGCGCATTTCCATTTTATTCTTTCAGACTTCCAATTTTCCTAGATTCATACTTTGTACATTCCATGTTCTGATTATTAATGGATGTTTGCAGCTGTTTTTCTTCATTTTGAGTTGTGCCACATCAGCAAATGAAGGTCCCAAAAGCTTTACTCCATTCACATCATCAACTCTACATTGAGGAAGTGGCTATGCCTCAGTCATATTTTAAATGGCTTCCAAACTGAGGGACTCGTCTTCCAGCACAATATTCTGGTGCTCTTCATGATGCTTCAGCATTCAATATTCTGGTGCTATCGGACAGTGTTCCACAGCTATTTATAAGGTTTTCAATGACTAAGTATTTAGAGGTAGACCGTCTCTCCTTCTTCCTAGTCTGTCTTAGTCTGGAAGCTCATCTGAAACCTGTCCACCATGGGTGACCCTGTTGATATTTAAAATACTGGTAGAATAGCTTCCAAAATCACAGCATGTTGCAAGCCACCACAACATGACAAACTCACAGATGAGTGGTGGATGATGAATATAAATAGACAAAAGTATTGAATTTGACAATGTGGATGGTTGGTGATCTTGAGAAGAGCAATTCCAGTGGAATGGAGGAACAGAAGTCTAAATAAGGTGTTTCAGTATGGCAGGTGAAGGATAAGAATGATAATCTGGCCAATAGTAATGGTGATAGAAAGACATGTGTGGATATTAGAACCATTGTAGCAAAGGACTAGGTGTATAGGGTCAAGGAAGTGATCCTAGAACTTCTAGGGGCAATAAAGCAGGTAGTGGTATCACCAGTTCAAATGACAAGAAGCCAGGTATATTAGGAAGGAATATAATTGTCTCTACTTTAGACAAATTGATTTTAATATGCTTGCAAGACATTCATGTGGCAAAAATGAAATAGTTATAAATTTAGTTCTGAAACTTAGTATTCTCAAATATATATCTCTAGCCCAGATGTGAAAAGGGAAAAAAAGGTTTGTACTAGTAATATAACTTTTAGAATCACCAGCAAAAGATTATATTGGCTAGTCATGCCTGTGGATAAGAGTTCCTCTCAATAGTAAAAAGAAATGAAGGTTAAAGGGAGGTTTTAGAGAACTCTTACACTAAAGGGATAGTTTAGAGAAAGAAAAGCCAGCAAGTACCAAAGAAGAATCATGAAAGAGCTGTGTCATGGAAGCCAAGAAAGAAAAGAAAAAAAATTCCAGAAGAAATCATGTTAAGTGCTATATAGAGACTTCAAATACATTGAGGACTAACTGGTAGAATTGACACTCAGAATAACCTAACGGGGGCTTCTTCTGTCCACAGGACTTTCCACCATCAACCAGACTCGTCTTAATTTCCACTTCTCCTCTGATCGAACTGCTGGTGTCATTGAAGTCCAGCAGGCCAGCCTCATGTTCTTTGTTCAGCTCCTTCCCAATGCTACTGGAACTTTGAAGGTGAAGGTCCTTGTGCCAGGCCGACATAACACCAACCTCACTTTGGCCACTCAGCGCCTATTGGAGGTAGAGTCTAGTGGCTGGTACCAACTCCTCCTAGGACCTGAAGTTCAGATTGCCTGCAGCCAGGGGCGCCTGACCTTGGAGCTGGTGCCTGAAAGGCAGACAGCCCAGAGTTCAGTGGTCCTGGATGGGACTGCCCATAGGCCTTTTGTGAAGGCCCGAGTGAAAGTTGGGGGCAAACACCGGGTTCGCCGCCGAGGCATCAACTGCCAGAGTGGGTCCAGGATGTGCTGTCGACAAGAGTTCTTTGTGGACTTCCGTGAGATTGGCTGGCACGACTGGATCATCCAGCCTGAGGGCTATGCAATGAACTTCTGCACTGGGCAGTGCCCACTGCATGTGGCAGGCATGCCTGGCATTGCTGCCTCCTTTCACACCGCAGTGCTCAATCTACTCAAAGCCAATACAGCTGCAGGCACTGCTGGAGGGGGCTCCTGTTGTGTGCCCACTGCCCGACGCCCACTGTCTCTGCTCTACTATGACAGGGACAGCAATATTGTCAAGACTGACATACCCGACATGGTAGTAGAAGCCTGTGGGTGCAGTTAATTGATATGTGGTATAGGCAGCTCAGGGCACAAATATGCCCTCACAGAGATGCCTTTCCTTGAGATGAAGGAGCAATTCTATTACTGCCTCTGCCCAGAAGATAGACTCCCTCTTCCTAAGAAGATTTTGGTCTCGGGATAGTCAGTCTACCATTTCTATAACCAACAGCCTCTCTCCTATATGCAATCCACTCAAGAAGCCCACATCTTCAACCCCATCCCAGGGACTCTGATTCGTTTCCATTCTTGAGCAGTGCTATCTGGTTCCTGCAGAGACAAACTTGGTGGTGGTGGTTGCATGCCGTGGAGTCAGTTCCAACTCATAGTCACCCTGTACAGGATTACCGAGGCTATAAATCTTTATGGGAGCAGATAACCTCATATTCCTCCCATGGAGCAACTGGTAGATTTGAACTGGTGATCTTGAGGTTAGCAGTCTAGATAGTAATCCACTATTCTATCAGAGCTCCTAAAGACAGACATAGCCCACTCTTAATCTACCCCTTTGACCCACTTTTTCCTGCTGTTTTTTCCACTTGAGGGCCCCCCACTCCAACATGAATGGACCCAGCCCTTTCTCCTGGTTTTTGGATCTCCAGAGATCCCCTTGCTTGGATTTACCAAAGATTAGATTACTGTTTACTAAAGGGAGATTTACCTCCATCTCCTTAGTATTATAATGTTCTCTTTGCCTTTCTCTGCCCTGCTCTGTGCCCTTGAGAGCTGACCCACCTGAGCTATCACCTGAAGTCCTTTATTCCTGGCTTCCTGGTCTTTAAGGGAAGAAGCAGATGAAAGGATAGGAGACAGAGGTTAGAGTAGTTCTTACTCCAGCTCCCTCTCAGTCTAGGTGTCATAGTTCTATGTGACTGCAGTTATGTCCCTAGAGTTCCTGTCTAACTACCCACATCCATGGCTCCTGTTTTACCCAAGTTCTGTTATCACTGCTCCAAAGGTAGGGGTCATAATGGCTTTCTGCTCCTGTTTGTTCCTGGGTATTTCATCACTCCCTGTTGGTTCTCATATCCCTTCTGTAAATAATTCCTTCACTAAGTCCTGTTAATGAAGCAAATATAGACAGCCAAGTGTGTCCTCTGTCTCTTGCCAGGACCCTGACTGAAACCAAAATCACACAGAGCCTTCTGACCTGACCAATTCTCTTTCCTCACAGACTCCTCTGGGCTGAGCTATTGCATCTTTCTATCTCACACTTTCGTGCCTTTTCCTGCCCCATGCTGCCTCCTCCTCTTTCTTGGGTCCCTTCTATCCTTCCAGATTCATCTTTGCAGGTCTCATGGCTAATAAAGACCCTGAGGTTCTACCTGTTCCTCTTCTCACTACATACTTGCTCCAAAAGATGAGGTAAATTTCTGATCAATTAGTAAGTAGGCCAACAACCTGTTGATATGTCCAAGGTTGGAGGTAAAAGTAGGGCTGTAAGTTGTCTGCCAAGACCTCTTACTTGCCTCTTCTTACTGACTCTTAGGGCTCCAACCAGGAGTCCTGCCAGGAAGCTAGAATTGGCCAAGGGAAAAGGAGAAGAGGAGAAAGACATGGGATGAGGGGAGAGAGGCATTTGCTGTGAGACTGGGCCTTCTTTCACCTCTGCCCTCTTTTCTCCATTGTCTCCTCCCTTTGGTTGGACAGCTCTGAACTATGGGGTCGATATTGTCTCAGCCAAGGCCAAGTTTGTGCAAAGCCCATGTGATCTACGGAGAATGTACTGTCTGTGTTTGCTTAAATCATAACCCCCCTCCTACCAGGAAAAAAAACCCAGAATAGAAACCTCAGAGGAGAAAGTCTGAAAGGAGCCTCCCTGGGGTAGGGGGCTTCACATCTGAACTGTGGGTCAAATACAGTCTAAGGCTTTAAGTCTTCTAGTGCCTTTTCTCCTCTCCCTCTGGCTGCTTTCCCTCTCCACCACCACCCCACCTCACACTGGTCCTCCCAATTGAACCTCTTTTCTCCAACTCCGGTGTCAGTCCCCAGGGCCATGACTAGGGTGAGGAAAAGTGAAGCACTCACTTTGGGGGCAAAATCAGTAAACAAGATAAATAATATTTTAATGCAACACTAAAAAAATAAAAATTAATGATAAACAAAATAGCAAAATTAAAAATAAACACAGGACTAGGATTAGTCCCAATCCTTTTTGGCTCTAACATTTGTAAAATCAGGAGAGAATGAGAACATCTTCTTTCAAATTTTTTCCTTCAGAGCCCTTAGCCCCTAACTCTACAGTCCTTTAGGATTTTCTTATCTGGGCAAGAGAGCCACTCTTCTACTTCCTTACCCACCCCCAAGCATGTCACTACCCCCAGTCCCCAACCAGGTTGGTGGTAGGGCAGGCCTTGAGGCAGATGGCTGGGGTATTTATAACCTCGGGAGCACTTCTTGGGAAAAGTGACTAAGATGCTAAGAGCTTATTTATAGCTGAGTTCTGACGTAAGTGTCAGTGGGGAGGTAGGGCCAGGCCAGGCACAGCAGCAAGGGGGTGGGAAGAAATGGAAATTGGGGACACCTGACAGAGTGAGGATGGCAGAGAAGTGGGGTCAATGACTCCTTCAGTCTCCTCTTGCTGCTTCCTTTGGCTCTATATTCTGGCACCAATAGGTAAGCCTTCCTAGGCTCTACCATGCAAATCTGGAAACCTCCACTTTGCAGCTTGTGTTTTCAAGACCCCCACCCTGACCAACAGAAAAGATGCTGGGGGCAATGGGCAGGGGAGCTTGAATATGCTTGAGGGCCTGGGGAGAGATCTGAGGTGTCTAAGAGTCTCCTGGTCCCTTCTTCCTCCTCCCCACCACATCATTCCCTGTGTTTCTTGGAAGAGCCTGGCACCCATCACCAGGCTCCAATGCCACGTGTCAGTGTGATGAGGTCCAAAACCAAAGGTAGCAGTGATGTGGATCCTGCTGACAGCCTCTACTTCCTGGTTGTAGTAAGGAGGGGGTTGGGGAGGGAGTGAGCAGAGGAACCAGCTCCTCTTGTCTCCTGGTGAGAGTGAGAGATTGAGGAACACTAGGGCTCTCCATTTCCCAGGCAGCTCCTTCTGCAGGAAGCTCCAGGTCCGCAGTTGGTCTGTTGCTGTCCATAGCATTGTTGTGACACAGTATTGCCACATGGTGGACATTGGAGGTACTGAGCACCCCCCCTTAAATGGAACCTTTCTCCTCCTGGGGCCACAGCTTAGATTAATTAGCAGTCTCCTGATAGTTCAATAGTGGCTAAATAGAAAGGAGATGGGTCAAATGGAGTAGGGGTACATTTCTAAACCATGCTTACTGCCCCCACTCCCCACCCCCAGTTTTCTTCCCTTGTTGTTGTTGTAAAGTGCTTTTGAGTTGGCTCCAACTCACAGAGACCCTGTACAGAGTATCCCAGGAGTGGCAGGTGAGCTTGAATCGCCGACCTTGCAGTTCAAACTGACCTTACAGTCCAGCGCAATAATCTGCAGCACCACACCAGGACTCATTTCTTACCCTAATTTCTTGAGAAGCCTGGGGCATAGGGAGAAAAGCTAGTGTGAGGCTAACCCCAAGGAGTTCAAGGTAGAGGGCCTTGGTGGTGGTGGTGGTTATGTGCCGTGGAGTCGGTTCCGACTCATAGCAACCCTGTACAGGGTTTCCGACGCTGTAAATCTTTACGGGAGCAGAAAGCCTCATCTTTCTCTCGCGGAACAGCTGGTAGTTTCCAACTGCTGACCTTGAGGTTCGCAGCCCGATTCATAACCCGCTAAGCTACCAGAGCTCCTAGAGGGCCTTAGTCCTCCCATTTAAAGTCAGTAAGGAAGCATGTATGGTCAGAATGGCAGAGACGGAAGTAAGGTTGCTGCACTCCTCCCTCATCTTGCTCTCCGAAGTCCTTAATCCCCCCATCTCCTACCCCACTAACAGAGAAGGCTGGCTGAAACTGCACAACCTTAAGGATGCCCCAAATGTAGACAACCCTCACAGCTGTCTGAAAGAGAACCAGTAGCTGGGTCTAAGCCTTCCCAAGTCCCATGCCTTTCTATCAGTCCTGATGGACTCTGCCCTGCTGTGAGGTTGCATCACTACACCCCCTACCTCTCTGGGTTTCCCCAGACATCACAGTAACACCACCACACCTCCCCCACTCCATGCTCTGGCCTTCTTCCACCTTGTGCTCCAGTCCAATTGGACTCTGGGCAGCCAGCATAGGCAGGGTCAGGGGGTGACTTGCATGCCTCATGGCACTGCCACCTCTGCCTGGAGGAGAGGACTCCGTCCCCTAGCCCTCACCCATGTCTGAGTCTCATTGCTAGAAATAAAGAGCCCAGGGTTCTCCTTCTGGCCCAGAAGCTCCAGAAAATCCCCACTGGGACTCACAGTTGCCTCCTAGGTACTGTGGCTGTTGAGATTGGGCAAGCTAAAAGACTGGAGATATTCTATTTGGAGAGATGGCCCTTCCTCACCTGATTCAAATGGAGTCCCCTCCCCCGATGGAGACCTTGAGGACTGAGTATGTGAAATCATCCTCTTTCTTGCATCATGTATGTCCACATTACCCCCCACCCCCATACCCCTACCTCAAGCCCAGTCACCATGACCAGATGGTGAAACCGGAGCTCCAAGGGGGGACCTCCACCCACTGCAGGGGCCTGATGGGCAGCACAGCTCTCCAATCCCTGGGCTCAGAGGGTATGTCTGCTGGCTAAATACTAGGTGGCGGAGCCCCAGACACCAGGTTCTAAAGAGGGCCAGATCAGTAATCAGATATAAACTGTGAGGGGTCAAACTGACAGACAAAGCTAAGTACAGCTACTCATCGGCCAATCCACTTTCTGCCTTCCTGAGTTCCAGGCAAGAGAAGACAGGTGGTTCTACCCTTGGCCAGGGGTAGGTGTGGCGCTGGTGGCTGCTGCTGCTGTGCCCTCATTGGCCCTCTCAAAATCAGAGGCAACAGAAGGAGCAACTGCCTTCGAACTCCAGCTCTCTACCCAGGGCCATCCACCAGAGGCATGGGGCTCCCTGATGTCCCACTCCAACTAGCACTGGTGCTGCTCTGGACACTGGTGTGGGCACAGGGAACAGGGTCTGTGTGTCCCTCCTGTGGGAGCCCCACACTGGCACCCCAAGCAGAACGAGCTCTGGTCCTGGAGCTGGCCAAGCAGCAAATCTTACAGGGGCTGCACCTGACCAGTCGTCCCAGAATAATCCATCCTCCACCCCAGGCAGCCTTGACCAGAGCCCTTCGGAGACTACAGCCAGGAAGTGTGAGTCCAGTGAATGGGGAGGAAGTCATCAGCTTTGCTACCATCACAGGTGGGTGACGGAGAAACTGGCAGAGAACCGACAGAGCAATGGGGGCAGAAGGGGAGCTTGTCAGAAAAGACAGAAGGAGCAGGGTGCAGTAGGAGAGAGAGGAGTTGGGCAGGGACTGGCTACAAGGCAGCCCCTATTTCTTCTGAAGGTGGGTATGAGGAAAAGCAGTGGGCAAGGATTGAGGGAATCTCAGAGAAGCGCTCCATCTCTGTTCACCTGTTCTCTTCCCTTCTTCATCTTTTGGGCAGACTCCTCTGTTTCAACCTGCAGCTCCATGCTCACCTTCCACCTGTCCACTTCTCGAGTCCACCACCTGTACCACGTCCGCCTCTGGCTGTATGTACTTCCCACATTTCCTGGCACCCTTTACTTGAGGATCATCCAGTGGAGTGCTAGGAGAAGGCAACAAGGATCCCACATCCTCCTGGCTGAGCACAAAATGAATACCCCAGGCTGGCACTCTCTGACTCTGCCCTCTAGTGGCTTGAGGAATGAGGACTCAGGCATCCTAAAACTCCAGCTGGACTGCAGAACCATACCAGGCAATAATAGCACAGCTGCTAGACTACAACAGAGGTTCCTAGACATAGCAGGTGACCAGCGGCCCTTCTTAGAACTTAAAATCCAGGCCAATGAACTTGGAGCAAGTCGGGTCAGGAGGAGGACGCCTACCTGTGAGCCTGAAACACCGTTATGCTGTAGGCGAGATCATTATGTAGACTTCCAAGAACTAGGATGGCGGGACTGGATTTTGCAGCCTGAGGGGTACCAGCTGAATTACTGCAATGGGCAGTGTCCCCAGCATCTGGCTGGCAGCCCAGGCATTGCTGCCTCCTTCCATTCTGCTGTCTTCACACTCCTCAAGGCCAATAACCCTTGGCCTTCGGATACCTCCTGTTGTGTCCCCACTATCCGAAGGCCTCTGTCTCTCCTCTACCTTGATCATAATGGCAATGTGGTCAAGACAGATGTTCCAGATATGGTGGTGGAGGCCTGTGGTTGCAGCTAGCAAGAGGACCTGGGGATTTGGAGTGAAAAAGATCAAGTCAGGGGTTCCCAAGCAAGGGGCATCTGTGGCTGAAGGCATCAGATTGCTGATCAACACCCCCATCCCATAGGCAACCTGGTAGTATGATTGGGCTGAATCCTATGCGACCCAAATGGACACTTTTTTTTGTCGATACTCCTGGCGTACTCCAGGCTGGTTGATGTGTCGGGAGATAGATAAAGTGTTTCTTTCAAAGAGATCTACCCCGAAAGGGTAATTTCTTAGTCAAAGTTCTATGAGAAGATGGCAAGGACAAGGGAGGGAGGGAGGGAGAGAAGTAGAAAGCAGAGAAACAATGAATTCATCTCTTCCAAGAAGAGAAAGTCCTCAGGCAAAGGAAGGAGGAAACAGACAGAGTCCAGCAGTCTCAAGGCAGAGTAAACAGGTTGACCAAGGGTAGACATTGTTGACATGCTTTAAGGGAGGGTCAAGAGGTAGATGAGCAAGGGGCTGAAGGAAAGTGTTTGGTAAAGCCCCAGAAATGGGAGTCATGAGAGGGGAGTGCTGAGCCCAAGAGAAGTTTCTGGTTTTTCCTGGGGGGCAGAACCGACTGAGGAGACAAACATTTATACTTTCCTAATAAAAATGTGAGCAGGAGAAAGATAAGGCTTTCTACTCTCTTAAAGATTTACAGTCTTGAAAACCCTCTACAGGGTCGCTATGAGTTGGAACTGACTCAATGGCACACAACCACAACCACAACCACTACCACCAATAAAAATGAGAAAACAAAATTCAACAAGTGTGAGTAATGAAACAGAGCAAGAGTTCTCAAAGGATGGGCTGGGGACTCCTGGGAGGGCCCCTGAGACCCTTTCAGGGGTGCCCACAAGTCAAAATTCTTTTCGTAATAATACTAAGATGTTTGTCTTTTTGAATTTTCATGATCTTAAAAGTGTATAATGGAGTTTTTCAGAGGCTGCATAACATGCGATTACATCATCTTTCTGACATCATTGTTAATGGAATGTGTACTTGTGTATTCTTGTGTTTGTGTGGTTTTTTTCATTTTAACTTTTAATATGGTAAATTGATAGATGTAAACCACAGAAGCAAAAGCTCAATACTTTTTAAGTATCCTGAGACCAAAAGTTTTAAAGCCACTGGTCTAGAGAACTGGGTGGAGAGGTGTTCTAAAGGGAAGCTCCTCCTCGGAGGGGTGGGGGGGAAGGACATAACACTGGAATGGGTACTTGTAGGGTTCCCTCCTCCCTTTCCAGTGACCACCTTTCTCAAATATGTCCCATATAACTGGGGTCTGGATATGGTCATGTAGGGGAGGAAGGTGTTCTTTATCTGTCTTTCCCCTCCACCCCCCATAGTTACTATCTATCTTTGTAGGTCCCATACCTCTCTCCCTAGCTTCGCCTTTTCCCCATGACCCTCGGACTTAACATTGATCCTCCAGCTGGTCCTTGGAAGAGGAACCAGGATATGGTGAGCTGTCTTAGAGGTGGCAGAAAGGGGAAGGGACTCTTTCCCCCTAACCATACTTTCTCCCCTTTCTCATAAAGGTCACAGAGACCAAAATAGCTACTCCTTTCCCCTGCATCCGGCTGGTCACCAAGGAGACACAAATCCGAAGAAGACTGCCGAACACTCCCCTTTCAGTTCAGCACTACCGCTCTGCGTTAGCAACCAGTGTGTCCCTCCTTTCTCTGGGCGCACATGTGGACTTTGGTGTCGGATAAGTGAAGCCTCTTGCTCCTCTAGCCATCCCAGTCTCCTTCATATAACCCAATCTCCTCCGCCTCCAGACTCCAAGAGATGTAATGTGTCAGATAGGCCAGCAGAGGGAGCAGAGGAAAGAGAATTGGCTGTGGATAGGTGCGGAGGTGGTCACAGTCTGCCCAACTTCCAAAAGAAGAAAAGCGGAGGTTCAGTACTTCTCCGAGAAGAGTGCTTCAAATCCAGGGCCCTTGATGTTACCTGTGAACACACACACTCTGCAATCAAAGTGTCAGCCGCTGTTTCTTTCCTTTATGTTCCATAGACCCCTCACATTCATCCCAGGGCCCCCAACCTTTCAACTTCATCTCTCCAAGCCCCAACTGTGTCCCAACGCCTCCAAGTTCCATCCAAAGGATGAGGCCAGCCAATAAACTACAGGAAGGCAGAATGCTGAGTTAGCACCAATCAACGTCGACAATCCTACCGCCAATATTTTCTTAAACAAACTTTTTCGTTGCCTCTTCCCCCCCCCCCCCCCATTCCTACCCCGCCCCCTTATAGTTCCCAATCTGTTTTTCTGGCAGGGGTTTAGGGCCTCTTCGTGGACAGCCGATCCAGGGATCCATGCCGGGATTTACTGCCTACCGACAGCAGCGTGTTCAGCGAGGGGGGGGAGGCAGTATAGGGTCCCTCAAGGGAGGGGGAGGATCCTGGGGGTCCTGGGGGTGCAATAAGCCCGGCACCCCCTCTCTCCTTTCCAGCCACCTCACCTCATCCTCAAGAACGGCAAGAGGGAGGGAAATAGGGAGGTGAGGGGCGAGCTGGAGGAGCAGCGGCGCGCCAGCGGCTAGAGCGAGAAAAAGTTTTTGCAAAAGGAAAAAAAAAGTTTGCGCTTCTCGCGGGTGGTCCCGGCTTGCGGCCCGGCGGGCTGGGCCGGCTGGAGGACTGGGGGCCAGGTTGGGGGGGGGGGGGGGGTGGCACCGAGGCTGCGCCGCCGTGGCCCTGTCCGCCCCCCCTCCCCACTGTACACCCCCCAGCCCAGACTCCAGCCCTGGACCACGCATCCCGATCCCAGCGCCCAGACGGAGGTGAGAAGGGGGGGGGCAAGCGGGGGACCACCTGGGAGTGGTGGGGGAAGGGACCTGAGGGGATGCTCTGTTTCCTAGGGATTCAGCCAGCCTAGAGGGAGACCTGAGCACTGGGGCAAAATAGATAAGGGTGGAAGAGCCTGGGTTGAGAAATTAGAAAGTTGGGAGAATATTTTCATTTGCAGCTCCCTTTCTCTGTATCTTTTTTTCCTCACTCTTTTCTTTTGAGTCTATGTGTCTGTATCTCAGGCAAATGTGACTCTCTTTGTCTGCCTCCTCCTTTCCTCTGTATTAGAAACATCTCACTTTCAGGAGTTAAGATGAAGAGGCTGGAGGGACGGCTAGCTGGAGTTGTGCGTACGTAGTAGAGAGGGAACTCCAGGTGTGAGGCTGAGAGCCGAGAAGGAAAACGTCAGTGTTTCAGAAAGGAAGGGACCGTGAAGGAGGGAGCCTTAGGTGGGATGGGGATATGTTTGTGTGTGTGGTGTGACGATAAAACCACTGGGAGGTGACTGGACTTGAACCCCTGACCTGTCTTGTGACCGATGTGCCCGAGGTTGCATGTGTTTGAGGGGAGTGTATAATTGGACTAGAAAGGGAACTGAGAGGGCTGCCCAGTGTCTAATCTATGTCCTAGAAAGACTCCCCACGGAATTTGGACTCCTGAGTCCCAAGGGTTGTGGGCAGGGCACTGAGGAGGTGGGGAAACCTTGTCTTGACCCTCTGAACTCAGGACCACCAGGGCAGCGAGGGCCAACCGCAGAAAGACCCCTACTGGGGCTGGGCTTGGACCACTGGCCACAGCCAGCCGGCGCATCCAGTTGCCCTCCCCCTCCTCAAACGGGAGCTGAGGACCTAGGCCCCTCCTCTGATTCAGACCACCCTGCCTGCCCTTGCTCCCCGCCTCTGAAGCCTCTTTCAGGCCCCATGACCCCGAAACAATCCGCTCTGGGTAACTAGGTTTGGGGAGTGGATTAGAGGAGGGGGACCCCGTAGAGACTGGGTTCTGAGGATTTTAGGAGCTTGAAAAATTGGGGTCTTCATAGAATAAGTCTTTACATCCCAGTAGAAGGAGAAGGCGGGGCAATTTCCCGAAGGAGATGTTAGGGCAGGAATTAGGGTGGTTTTCCCTAGGGGGCGGGGTCCTGAGACCCCCCCCATTATCTCCCAGGCATCCCCGCCTGGCGACACAGACCCCGCCCTTGACGTCACTAGGGGGTTCCCGGGGGTCTGGAAGGGATTAACCCTTGGGGAGCCGGCTAGGATACCCAGGAACCTAAGGTGTCCTGGCCCCTCCCCCACGCACACCTTATTTTATTTACGCAGTTACTTTCTCTCCCTGTATTTTCTGGATTATTCTTTACTTTCTACACCGCCATGGGGAACCCTCCACTCTCCAGTAGTGCCCCCCAGGACGCTACTACTTGCTTTCTGGATGCTTGGAGGGGAGGAGAGAAAAATTCGTCCCACCTCTCACATCCCCCTCCACTACGGCTCGCTCGACTGGGCTCCCCGGGCGGGCGGGGGAAGCGCAGCCGACTGCAGTCTGAGCCTGCGGCGGCGACTTGGGTGGGCCGAGGAGGCACGGGGGCGGGGAAGGCGGGACCTAGAGAAGGGGGGCGGGGCCGACTCCTGGGAGTTGGGGAGCAGGGTTGTGAGGGGGACTCTGGAATATAGAGAGACCAGATGATTCAGGGCTTTGGCTGGGGAGCCCTGGAGCTCCCTGACTCGTCCTGCATTCTCACCCATACCCCAGAGAAACTTCTCTGAAGCTGGAAAAATTGGCGAAATTTTCCTTTCATTAGTGTGAAGGGGAAACGTGGGGTGGGATGTGACAGGCGTGGGCGAGGAGGGATGTCGCTCCATTTTCATCGCGGTCCTTGGTGGCTTGGTGGTCCTTGGTGGTGCGGTCCTTGGTGGGGCAAGAAGATGACGGAATAGGCACTTTGGGGGAGTCTCTTTAATGTCTGGGGGGGTCTTTTGCGACCCCGCCTCCTTCCCCTGAGTGAGTCATAAAGGAATGAGAGGGGAGAAGTGCCCCCCCATCCAGCTGCCAGCCAGCTGTGCCTCCCCCCCCACTCCCCACCCCCACCCCCGGCCTCCAGCACCGTGCCAAGGTCGAGTTGGGAGGTCTTGGATGCGGGATCCGGAACTCGGCAGGGAAAGGAGGAGTTAGGAAGGGTACGGCCCATGCTGCGGGGC